TGGGAAATAGTGAGGAGGAACTGACAAGTGAAATTGACAAGTCTAATTGTCCAATCAAACAAAATTCAAAAAACAAACAAGTTGCATAAAAGCAAATAATCTCTTAACAATTCTCTCAGTTATAATACATTGATATCCACTCTAGTGTAAGTGGACATAGCAGTATTGACTTCGATGCTACATCCATTAATTGCCCTAACCTATGCCAGGTAAGGATCCAGCCCTCAGGATCTATTAATAATAGAAGCAATATTCCCTTTTAATTTTATGGTATATTATGGTCTGGATTTTCAAGTACAATTCCCCATGGATTGTGATCTGCTTAAAACGCATGACTTATATGGCCCGTCATTTTAACCCGAGGTTGTCCTTTTAGTTCTTGTATTCTTGTTAACGCCACTACAATAGAACACTGACACAGAATAATGCCCTCCCACTCCGTGGCATGCTGTAAATGCTGAGGCTTTTATGGAAAATAAATGTCAAGGGAAACTAGGTGATTTTATTTGTCAAAAGAGATGATGCTCCTGACAGTTCTCGTACAAAGACTTTATTTCTGTTACAGCAAGTGACTGATGATGAGTCAGTCATCCGGGGCTAAGTTCTCCAGGCAGCCACGTAACACATTTTGGTGTGAAAACAGAACTGCACAGTTTGTTTTCTTAAGTGTTTTAGATTCATTATGCACTAGTAGGCATAGGACTTTGGATTTTTATAACATCTTGCAGCTATATGATCACAAAGTATTATATACCCAAAACCTTACGGGCAGATCCTGACTTCCTTATGGATTAGCCTTCCAAATGCAAGCATGTGAGGTAAGCAAGGGATGCATGAAGGAATCTCTTAACCCTCCACTTCAGTGCAGCCATCTCTGGAGCTAACCCTAAAAACACAAGAGAGGATGACAAACCTATCCTTTAAAAAGTGCATGGGATCTTTAATGACCTAAAACTCTTGCATATGTTTCAGGTAAAATTTATAAACTACAAACAAAATCATACATTTTAAAAAACAAAATATGTGAAAATGATTCCCTTCTTTACTAACCTGCCAAGACCATACTTCTGGGGGCCATATGTCATGTGTACTAACGGATAGCATCAATGAACAAGTCAGGGAATGCAAAGAAAAATAAATAAATATAACTGAGCTGAAATGTTCATCCTTGGGTGCAGCAGAAACACAGAATCTTGACCTTGGGTCTTGGCAGGTAAGTAAGAAACTGAAAGGGTGACTTCAATTGAGTAAATATTGGCACTTTGATACCAAGGAGATAGGCACCTAAGAAATATCAGGGATAACAGGCAGAGATAAGTGAAGTGGCTGAACAGGTGACAAGACCCAGAAAATAGAAAAAATATAAAAATTGGAATAAATCCATATAACCTCCACTGATATCAGGCTATGCCTGTTTACCCCAGAGGAGGATCTGAGCCAGCGAGTTCTCCGATATTTAGATAGGTGCGGTAGCTAACGAGCCGGGAGGGCCTGCCTGTGTCAAAAGAATATTATAAATCCATTTAAACAAGCATCCCTAACCTTATGAGGCAATGAAATGATGAGCTAATGAAATTTCACTGTTGGGCAATAACAGTCCCTGTACAGCTTCAAGGTCACTTTACACCTTGACAGCTCTATTATCTCAGGACAGCAACGTCTCTGTTACTCAGAGCTTACATTCTCAGCCTCTTCTCCCAAAGCTTCCTTCCATTATTAACTCCATTCGCACACGGCAAGAACGTCATCACTGGGATCATGAGATATTCCCCTTCCCGCCTGTGGTGAGAGGAAGCAGTGTCCTGGTAGCGGAGTCTTACTCTCAGTGTAAATACTGAGCTGGATATGCCCGTAAGTGGCACATTTTGGAGAAAAACCCTTGTGCCTATGTGGGTCAATGTCACACGAACGTGCTAAGAAAGTTACATCAGTCCCAAGGCAAGAGCTGTTTAGGGTATATTAATCTGCAGCCTTTCATCAATATTTAAAAAGGATTCTCTTCTGCTATCAGCAGTATTTCTTTTAATCTCCAGGCTTATTGCAGAGCTGAGTGGAAGCAGCTGCATCAGTGCTCCGAGAGCTCTGATGTGATGCATGTGTCTCTGAGAGACCGGAGAGTTACCCACCCACCCTGGTAGATAGGGCCTCTTTGCTAATTTAGGGTATGTTTACACTACAGAGACGACTGAAGCTGCCGCTGTTGATCTTCCAAGGTTCGAATTAGCAGGTCTAGTGAAGACACACTTAATTCGAACTGAGAAGGGCGCTCTGGTTGATGCTGGTAGTCCTGCTTCCGCGAGGAGTAAGGGAAGTTGAATGGAGAGTGTTCTTCCTTTGACTTCCTGCAGTGTGGACAGCACCAAAAGTCAAGTTAAGGTACTTCGATTTCAGCTATGCAATTACATAGCTGAAGTTGGCGTATGTTAATTCAACCTTATCCCATAGTGTAGACATACCCTTACAATCGAGCAAATTCTTCCCGATTTAACAACCAGGTTTTCATACTAAGGCTATGTCTTCACTTGCACTTGATCAACAAAACTCTTGTCATTCATGGGGGCTTAAAGTACATCCCCCCCTCCCCTGAATAACAAAAAAGTATGAATGCTGCTTTGTTGGCAGGAGCGCTCTGCTGCCACAAAGCAAAACCCCCTCCTTGTGGAGGTGGAAGTATTTTGTCAACAAAAGTGTCTACCATCAGCATTCACATACGTTGTTAGCAACATGGTTGCGTCGACATAGCCATGTTGCTAAAAGCTCTGTTATACCCTAATTCTCTGATATGGGCTCGAGAAGCTCACGGGGTTATGCTGTCAAGTGCATGTGCAGTTTTATCGGCAATTCCTATTAACTTCAAGCTGACCTGGGAACTCCCAATGACTGGCACAGAAAATGGAGTGCTAGAGATCAAACGGTGATTGTATTTATCTGGAGAAATCTGAGACTTCCTTTCAAAGTGTGTTCTCTGAATAATCCTTCCAGGACTTTGCTTTTGCTGCCTCTTTGCTTTCTTCACCTTGTTAACCCTTTTGACCAGAACTTTGCAAAAGATGGCCACTTCAGGCCATTTGACTTTGCATCCCCTCAAATTTGTTTTTCTGTTTGTGTGAGCCAATTGTGCTTTTCACAGGAGCAGGGATGCAACTAATCTCCTGGCTCTATTCCAGCTGAATTATGTTCCTGTTCTCTAAACTCCCCTGCTATTACACAACTGGATATGTTCTTCACCTACAGTCTTATAATGATTGTGTAGTGTTGCTTTGAACTGTTAGCTGCTACGTTCCATTATTGGGCTAGCTTAATTCCAGTGGTAGATGATTTTTGTATGCAATATGTGAAGTACTTTGTAGTTCTTTGGAACACCATCTCTTCTCTTCCATGAGTGAACCCTTATTACATGCTTGCTTAATTTCTTTCCTATAATAACTGTTCTATTATCACCCCCTTTCTGGGCAGAGTTAAGGGGAAGATGGCCTTTGGAATGTTCCATCACTTTTGAGGACTCTGAATCCTTTATCCTGCCTGTTCCATCTCACACTGAGCAACTCAGAAACTCCATTCTCTTTCACATCCAGGTGACCTGGATGTTTGAGGGAGAGGCCTGAAATTAAATCAGTAGTGTCTGCAGGTGAAATTTGCTTCTTGTCATCTCACCAGCAGACAATAAATTCCCCCTTTCCCCCAAGAAGAGTGAAAACTGATTAAGGCAAAGTGGCCTCGATGGTATCACGTATTAGGAATGATTTGTCTCGGGTTCATTCAACTCACAGGGCTTCTCTATGATCCTTGCAAGGTATTCTGGGCAGATGTATTTCCTGAGCTCATTGAAACAGCAGTTTGGGGGAGGAAGTGGAAAGCCCTGCAGAATCTGATTGACAGCCACGATATGAGGAATGCATAGATGAGTGGCTCTGGCCAACTGCTTTTTTAACAATTGTAAAAATGTTTGCATTTTGTTCGACATTTCTAACCTGAGGTTTGTTAGCCTAGAATTCTGGTTGGCTTTGGGGAATGAGGATCTTTTAAAAATTGGATTAAGTACGTGGAGTTAGCAAACTTGACTTGAGGCACCTAGGATAGACACAGTTTAACATCTTTAAAATTGTGGTAACTGATTGTGGTGTTAACACAGAGGTCCAGATTTCCTGATCCAGCAAGAAGAGCTAGATGGGGCTCCACAGTGGTGTCTAGGCCATAAGAGATCCTTTTAGTATGTTGGTATTCCTAAACTCTTACTTTTTCCACATCATCTCCATTATTCATTTGATAATTATAGTATATTTGGTTTAATTTGAACACTTAAACATTCCTGTTGATTGATCATGTTGCTTGATTATGCTGTCAGCTGAGTACTCAGTGAAGCCGCCTTACTGCAAAGTCATGTTTGTCACACCTCTTCACTACAACTGGAATTATGCCTTGTATATCAAGATGCAGTGAAGCAATTCAGGATTTCTGGTCTTTCTTCCTAAACCAAATCTCTCTCACTCCATGCTCCTCTAGATGCAGGTTCCACAGGAATCATTAAGAACAGGATCGGATCCTATTTATTTTTCATATTGGAGGAAAAAAGGAAGTTGAGTTAAAAACGAGATTATAGTTTGGTTCCAGTGACTAATTTTCTCAATTTTTTTTCCACAACAAGGAAAATAAATCAAGTAATTTTAAACTTTGATTTTATTTATTTAGGAGGAAAAATTAAAAAAAAAATTGTTTGCTCCTGATCTCATGTCCCATAGGTAGTCTGTAGCCTTGTCTACATTATTTTCTAATCTAAACATCACTTGTTCCTCTCCCACAAATAAAATAAATATTTCACCCTTTGAACTCTCAGTACTGTTCCAATCAGTTACCTGAGTTTCCTATACTTTATTAGCGCTTTAGTAATATACACGTAAGTAGCCTGTCTGTTTCTGTCATATTTATGTTCTCTACACATGGTAAGGTTTTAAAAGCTTGCTTGGACATTTGTGGGTTTTGTTGTTTTTTTTTTTATCCAGAGCAATGAATGATATTGGAGATTACATAGGCTCCAACATAGAAATATCCTGGTTACCTAATCTGGATGATTTAATGAAAGGATATGCACGGATTTTCAGGCCTGGAATTGGAGGTAAGATTCAGATTTATGTCTTTCTTGATTTCTCATGTATTCTTTGCACAATCTAGTGGCTGAAATGGATGTGAAGGCCTCCCCTTTTCTGAATAAAATCAAGTGTTTGTGAATGTCTTGCCCTTAAATGTAGTGATGATAACAAGAATTATTTTTGTTGGTCTGCAGAAAGTTCCAGGGCACTTTAAATAATCTGGAACCCCTGACAAGGAATCTGGATCCCCTGACAAGTCAGTCAGCTTAAAATCAGCTTTCACCAGCACTCTCACAAGCCATTGGCTGCGTCTAGACTGGCATGATTTTCTGCAAATGCTTTTAATGGAAAAGTTTTTCTGTTAAAAGCATTTGCATAAAAGAGCATCTAGATTGGCACGGAAAGCACTTTTTGCGCAAGAGCGTCCGTGCCAATCTAGACACGGTTTTGCGCAAGAAAGCCCTGATCGCCATTTTTGCCATTGTGGCTTTTTTGCAAAAAACAGTTTTTAGCTGTCTACACTGGCCCTCCTGCGTAAAAACATTTCCGGAAAAGGGCTTTTGCCCGAACGGGAACGTCAAAGCATTTGCGCAAGAAGCACTGATTTCATACAGTAGAACATCAGTGATTTTGCACAAAATCAAGCGGCCAGTGTAGACAGTCTAGATGCAGCCATAGTGTTTTGTTTTTTACCGGAAGGAGCTGCTTTCTAAAGGGGTGAAGTTTTCTTATCTTTGAACGTGTCAAAGAAATTACTTCCACTGACTGCTGAAGGCTTTATGCAATATAAACAATTTCTGTTATCTCCTGCAATATACACATATCTCCTGCGTTCTTCGGGGCTGCTGACATGGGGGGTGAGGAGAGATGGGAGAGGTGGTGGAAAAGGGGGCAGTTGCTCTGGGCCCAGCAATTTAAAAGGGCCCAGAGCCTCTGGCTATTGGTGTTGCTACTTCGGCAGCAGTACCCGGAGCCCAGCAGTGTGTGGCCCACAACCCCAGTGGCACTGAAGGTCTAGCTGGTGGAGGCTAGCCCCAGCGCTGCTCCTTCTGCCTGAAGCCCTGCATCTTCTGGGGGCCATAGAGTCAGCTCCCTCCAGGGTCTAGAAAGGTCTCTCGTCAACCCTTGTTCTTACATCACTCCTATCACTATGGTATCTGAACTGACTTTGGGAAAGTCGTTTTGTGGTCCATATTAAGTGGTGATCTCCTCTGTACGTGGAGCTTATCTCCACTACACTGGGGATCAACGCTGCAGCAATCGATCCATCAGATGTCGATTTATCATGTCTGCTTAAACACGATAAATTTATCTCCGAGCACTCTTCTGTTGACGCCGATATTCCACCACAATGATTCCGCCGGTACTCCACCAGGAGAGCAGCCCCCACTGATCTTACCGCATACAAGATACTGCAGAAAGTACGTCTACTTCAGCTATGCTATTCGCATAGCTGAGGTGACGTAGTTTAAATTGATGGCGGGGGTTAGTATAGACAAAGCCTAGATTTTCAAAGTAGGTGTCATGATTTCAAGGGGTTGCCACCAACTGTCAGAGATCATGACCAGCCTCCTGTTCTCCATGGCTAGATGGGAGGGTTTCTATGGAAACTTGGCATCATAATATGGAAGAGGTTGGAAACCCATTGTTCTAAAACAAATTTTATTTCTGGAAACTGTGAGGTGCAGAGGAAAGGATATTTAGGGATCCACTTCAGTGAACTGACTCCACATGAAAATGTTGAGAAAGTCAGTGCATATATATTCACACCATATCCTTCCCAATTTAACATGTCTCTTTCACAGGCCCTCCTGTTAATGTTGCCCTAGCGATTGAAGTAGCCAGCATTGACCACATCTCAGAAGTTAACATGGTAAGTTGCTGTTTAAAGTTGGTAAGACTGGAAAGGTGGGGATGCTTATACTATGGTAGCAGGAAGTATAGAAAACTGATTAGGCAGATATGATTGTTGTACATAGAACTATCACAAGCAGAAAGGTATTGGCAAAGAGGAAAAAGGTTACTCTAAATGTTTCAAGTGAAAAACTATCATAGGAAAAGCCCAAAAAGTGAAGACTTAAGCGGCATGCTAGCCCATAGGCCAGGTCCTCACAGGCTGTACATTGACCAGTGTTACTGCACTGGAGCTACACTGGTTTGCCCCAGCTAGTGATCTGGCCAGGCATGCCCCATTTAAGCTGGCTTAGAAGGGAGGGCATGGTTAGAATCCCAAGTATGTTGCCCTTATTGTTAGGAAAACTATTTTAAAGAGTTAAATCCAATTTCTACTCCAATTCCTTTTTCTCCTAGACACTTCAGGTATGTCTACACTTGCACCCTCTTTCGAGAGCAGGATGCACGTGTAGACATTTGAAATTGCAAATGAAGCCGGGATTTAAATATCCCATGCTTCATTTGCATATTTGCGGACAGGCGCTATTTCAAAATACTTTATTTTGAAAAAATACTTTATTTTGAAATAAAAAATGCTGTTTAGATGCAGTTATTTTGGGAGAAAACCCTTCTTCCAAAATAACCCTTATTCCTCATACAAGAGGTTTAAGGGTTATTTCAGAAGACGGGTTTTCTCCCAAAATAACCGCATCTAAACAGCATTTTTCATTTTGAAATAAAGTATTTTGAAATAGCGCCTGTCCGCAAATATGCAAATGAAGCATGGGATATTTAAATCCCGGCTTCATTTGCAATTTCAAATGTCTACATAGAAAGAGGCTTGTGGAGCTCAGCCTCTCTTTGCCCTCTGAAAAGTTGTAAGATGCTCCCTTCATTATCTCAGCCATGTCCACCCCCCTGAAGAAAGCAACAGGCTAGATTCTAGCTTCAAGAAGTATGAAGATCAACTGTATTTTGTAGCCTATTAAACCTTAAAGACTTATTTTTAAAGCCATCGCTGTGACTTATCACTGATCCCCCTCGCTCTGTTTCATTCACCTGGGGCTTTTTTTCAACCTGATCCCTTCCCCAAAAAACCCTTGGTCCTTCATAAGCAATCAGGTTAACATCTCTTCTGAGCGGATTCTTCCCAACTGTCTCAGACAAACATGCAGCTCTTGCTACACAATATACCTGACAAATGCCTTTGGATCAGAGCAGTTGGATAGCTGGGTGCTTCGATAGTTTGGGGTTATCCATGGATAGAAACAGACGAGAGACATTAAAATGCCCAGGCAGTTTTATTCTGATTGAGTATAAAAATATTCCAGCACAGAGGAAGCAGCTATTAGATGTTCCAGACTAAAACAATGAAATTTGACCAGGCCCCAAGATATCATCATTGTGTTTGTTTCACATGGTGTATTAACTGTTGGTTCTTCTCGTGCCAGGAATACACCATGACAGTATTTTTGCATCAGAGCTGGCGAGACGACCGCCTGTCTTACAACCACACCAACGAAACTCTGGGTTTGGACAGTCGGTTTGTGGACAAGCTCTGGTTACCAGATACATTCATAGTAAATGCCAAGTCTGCTTGGTTCCACGATGTGACTGTGGAAAACAAACTTATTAGGCTACAGCCTGACGGAGTCATTTTATATAGCATCAGGTAAAGAGAGAGCAATTTCTCTCCTGTGTTAGCTTTTCGAATAGACTCTAAAATATAATCATGCCCTTTCCCTAGATTATATTTGAAAACCATTCATTTAAAAAAACTAAAAAACCTATGTTAGCCTGATGCATTTCTGTGCAAGACCCCTCATTGCTCTGTCAAGTGTACACAGGGAAGGCACAAGTGACCACAGTAACAAATTTCCCATCATGTAATCATTAATCACCAGGTGTATCATTAACAGAGCATGATCTTGCTATCATTGGGGTTGTTCTACACAACTACCAGACCAAGCGGTAGTGTGAACCAAGCAAGGAGTTCCTGGGTTCTGTGGCTGACACTGATTCCCTGTGTGACTTTGGCTGAGTCATTTAAACTTTCTCAGCTTTAATTGTCCCCGTCTGCACAAAGGCAACAATAACATTTCCCCACCTCAGGGGGTATTCTGAAAAAAAGTTAACACGTGCACAATGTTTTGGAGCTGCAGGGTCAAATTCATCCCTGGAGTAACTTCATTGAAATTACTCCAGAATGGATTTCGTTTCCAACACTCTACAATAATGATTATTTAGTAGTAGTAGTATCTAGCCTTGAGCATGTCATTTAACCATTCGGTACCTGTTGCCTTTCCCTCAGGGGGTCGTTGCAAGGACTGGTTAGTGTAAGAGCCTAAAGGACTTGGAAAGCAGTACTGGTTTCTTATGTGGACTTGGCAGCAAATTGAGGATAGATGCAGGCATGGGAATAAGCAGCCGGTCACAACTTTTATTAAACTTTAACACAGGGAAGAGACACTCTCTGCCCATCACCCGCACTCTTCTGTCCCAGGCATTTAATTTGTTCCAGTGTGGGGGTTACAGGGCTCCTTACTATATAAGTATTTATCTCCTCACCCTAGCCTATAGAAATCAGTTTTCTCTGAGCCCTAGCACCCAAGGTCCTGCTGTAAGCAGGACAGAGGGTACAGCAGTACAAGGACCTTGGTCTGTGAAGGTCATAAGGTCTCACCCTACCACATGAACTCAAGGCTCATCACCAAAATCCCAGGCCTTTTGCTTCTAAGAGCCATTTTATTCTCTTAAGCACACTGGAAAGCATCTGCAACTTGCAACAAATAAACAAATCCACCCTAGGACCTCAGTTAAGTTCCATGCGTGTTCCTGCTCAACTCACTGTGGCTTGCAGATGCTGCAGAAACTCCCTGGTTCTCCATCAATTGTACGTGGGAGAAAAAATTCCTTCCTGACTCCTAACCAGGCAACTATCTAGACCTGCAGTGTCTGTCAGGCTAGATTCCCATTCCTAGTATGACAGGGGAGGGGAGGCTGCTGGAATGGCACAAACAGAGGCTCCACATGACCCCTACACCAGCTTAAATCCTAGGAGCTGGCAAATGCTGAGCAATCAGGAGTCTTCTTGCCCATCTGGCCCATGGATACCAGGGACTCCTGGAGAAGGAACTACCTATTGTCCCTTGGTGAGTGCCTATCTCCCATGCTGCTGGGACTGCACTCTTTTGCTGCCAACCCCACCAAGTTCCCCCACGGGCTGATGTGGCTGAGTGATATATAGATGTAGATTAAGGGTTTCCTACCCAGTCTTTGGATTATGGGGAAATTACATGCCCAGCTATCCTGGGGGGAGGGATAGCTCAGTGGTTTGGCCTGCTAAACCCAGGGTTGTGAGTTCAATCACTGCAGAGGCCATTTGGGGCAAAAGTTTGTCAGGGATGGTACTTGGTCTTGCTGTGAAGGCAGGGGACTGGACTCAATGACCGTCCCTGCCAGTTCTAGCAGATAGGCAGTCTCCATTAATTTAATTTATGACAGACTACAGTTCTCTCTAGAAATAAATCACTGGCACTATTGATTTTTCTGGCATGTGGGGGCAGGATTACCTCAACCGTGGCCTGTGACATGGACCTCACTAAGTATCCCATGGATGAACAAGAGTGCATGCTGGATCTAGAGAGCTGTGAGTACAAAATACTGAGGACAGTGGTGTCTATTATGCATGCCCAAGGGAGCTGACAGATTCATGGGGCCTCTGGACAATGCGGTGGGAGGGGGGGGGTCCCCAGCTCCATGCTCCTTGAAGGGAGAGGGCCTCTAGTGGAAGGAGTGAGATTGGGGCAGTCAGTCCCCAACACCACCCAAATGGCAACACTCTCCTCTCTCCGAAGGCCCTCAGAGCCGGCTGGAGTGCGCAGTGCTGGGCTCTGGAGTGCTCAGCGATTCTAAAGGGCCCAGAGCTTCGGCTGCCGCCGCTGTCACAATAATAATAGTGGTGGCCAAGAACCCTAGGCCCTTTAGAATCTTTACCTCTTCCCCTGTCGGCAGGCCTGCGCGTGTCCTGTTGAAATCCTGCATGGATAGTACTTAGCTGTGGTTCTGTGAGGCAGCTCAAATCAATTCAATATAAGGGCTGGTTTGGATTTAGGAAATATAAGGCCTAACCCCAGTTCCCTTGATTCAAGGTTTGGTAGGGTTACCATATTTGAACTTTCAGAAAAGAGGACACTCCTGAGAGGGAGTGTATCTGTATCGGTATCAGTATCTAGCAACTCACATGGTGTTAGTATATAAATAGTATAGTATATTAACACAACGTGAATTGGTAGATACCGATACCGATACTCTACCTCTCAGGAGTGTCCACTTTTTAGAAAGTTCAATTAGGGTAACCCTACAGTTTGGATATCAGGATACAGAGCCTTACAGCATTACTTCAATCTGACGCAGTCCAGAACCATAGAACTGAATCAGCAAGGTGCTGAGCATCCTCCATTTACATTGGAGATAGTGAACTGGGTGCTAAGGGCTGGTCCAAAGCCCGCTGAAATCAGTGCTTCAGGCCCTGAGAGACAAAGCTGAGATTACAGTGGGAGGCTGTGTCTAGACTACACCCCTCTGTCGACAGAGGGATGTAGTCTAGACACAGCGTAAGTGAAACCAAGAGGGGCAGAATTCCATGTGTAGTTATTGTGACTAGCCTCTGTGAAGACTCTTTTGAATGTCTCTGTCTTTCCTTAGCAACACCTCGCCCCTATACAGGAATCAGTCAGAATCTGGGCCGTAGACTAGTTAAACTCTATTTAGTGCTTACATGGGAAACCTGTATAAACTGTGTCTGTATTCTACTTGGGCCCAATTCTCCTCTTGATCTGTGTGTAATTCCCTTGAGCAGTAATGGTTTGGGGACAAATTCACTACTGACATAAGCAGGCCTCACTCGTTGACGGAAGGGAATTTGGCCTTTTGTGGCTATGTCAGTGGCTGAGTGGAGTCCTGATGTGTCCAGAGATTTTGGACTAGCAGAGTACCTGTGCAGGGGCAACTTGATGTGAGTGTCAGTTGCTCTTTCCTTTGTAGCACTGACTCTGTTTGTTTTCTCGGCAATTAACCACAATAAGTTCATCCTGTCAGAAATAGCAACCTGCAGTTTTACTTACATAATCAGCAAATGCAGTGGCAGCGGACAATGAACTAGCAATCAATTCACTCTCCCAGCAACTTTTGTAAGTTTTTTTTTAATTTAATGTGAGGATTTTTATTTCAGTGCAATAAACGTAAGTAGAAATAAAGCCTCTTCAAACAAAGGTATTAAAGTACAACCAGAGGAAACTTTCCGCCTGTAGTTGCTACATGTCATTTCTGCTAGTCAACTCCTAACCCAAACTACGGAGACTGTGTGTTCCAAAGGGAGTCCACCTGTCTGCAGCATTAGTGTAGTCCTATTTTAGTGCGATCACAAAATACCTTGCTCTGTTTCTATCCAGACAGCCATTTCTCACTAGCAAAGGGTTGCTGACAGGTTACATGTCAGGCACCATTTTTTCTGCTGCATCCAACTTCTGTTAGGTACAGCAGGGACTGATGGGATGCCAGATGGCTGAGTATAACTCCCTGATTCCCTGCCTCACCTTGACCCCAAAGGCATAAGTTAGAGGAGCCTTCCTGGGTCACCTGACAGCTGGGGACAGCTACGGTGCATCACTCTAGTCAGTCTCCCTTCTTGCCTGTCTTTACTTTGGATATGTCCCCTAAACCAAACTCTTCAGAGAGGCTGCCATTAGGGATGTAAATTCCCATTTAAAACACTAGCCGGTTAAATGATAGGTTTAACCAGTTAACCTTGGAGGGCTGGGATCCCGCAGAGGGGGCTGCACCATCCCAGCTGGCCAGCTGCATTGCATGTACGGGTTGCTCTGGCTGTACCAGGCTGCCAGTTAACTGGTTACCGGGTAAGTATGCCCTTAAAGCTAATGCTTACTGGGTAACCAGTTAACTAGTTAACTCTTTACATCTCTAGGTGACATAAGGACCAGCTTCACTGGCTCTGTGCCTGCCTATGACACTGGGATAATTCCCAGGATTGGGGTTATGACCAGTCTTTGCTCCTTCCACTTTGCTTGACTGGCACAAAGATATTGAAAGTGGCACAGAATATACTCCTATAGATATATAAAAAAAACCCATGTTTTTTTACATGTTTGCTCTGTCAGTCTGGCTAATGCAAATATTCGTCTCCATTCAGATTCTCGTGCACAATGCTGCTGACTTTGGATGGCCAATGCTGCAAAGGAAACTTTTATTAGTTTGTTTTGCAGCTGTTTGCATTATAATTTAAACAAAAACTCCATTCCTTGTGTCTGTTGCTCTTAGGTTTGTTAAAAGCATCTATTTAAGCTGTGTTCTCCACTTGAAAGCTCTTCTAAGATCGCAAACAGTGTGAGGGAACACTACCCAGCTGGGTCACTGGTGACCTCGCTCTTGATGGGACAGGGAATTTTACCCAGATTGCAAGACATGTTTGCTGTGGGACTGAGGATGGAGCAGCATGGCAGAGGTGTCTGAGTCTTGCTCTGAGCCCATTCATCTTTATTTTTCCCCAAACCTGTGCACTTATTCAGCTTCTTTTGGCAGATGGCTACTCTTCAGAGGATATCGTGTACCACTGGTCAGGAAACCAAGAGGAGATCCATGGGCTGGATAAGCTGCAGCTTGCTCAGTTCACAATCACAAATTACCGCTTCATGACAGAAATGATGAACTTCAAATCTGGTAACTGACTCTGAGCCTTCGTTACAGGCAGCCTGTTGGCCTTTCTGCTTAGGGGAGCCTCTACTACCCATATAGACAATCTCCTCTCTTCAAGTAACCCATTTAATGTGTCCATCTGGTTTCTAGTACAATTGTATTTAATCTGTACTTAGAGCAAGGATGGGCAAAAGCCTCTCAGAGGGCCAGATCCAGCCCGCCAAAAGCTTTCATCTGGCCCGTGAGGTAGTTCCAGGCCCCGCCCCATAGCGTATTGCCCCAGAGCAGCAGAGAGGCGCAAGCCCTTCTAACTGCTTCTGTTTAAAGGGCTCGCGTCTTCCCTGTGCCTCACCCAGCAGTAGGGTTGCCAGGTGTCCGGTATGGACCTGGACAGTCCAGTATTTTCGCCTCCTGTCTGGTAAAAAAAATTCAGAAAATACCAGACACCTAAAATGTCTCGTATTTTCTGATTTTTTTTTTCCCCGGCCAGGGGCGAAAATACCCAACACCGGCCACCCTACGACACACTCGGCAACTGGGCCCAGCCCCTAGCCTTCCCCCCTCGGTCCCCGGACTCCCTGCTTACCCAGTTCCGCAGGGAAGCTGCTTTTGGCTTGATCAAAATGGCCACCAGCAAAAAGCCTAAAGACCAAGGGGAAGCAATGCCTTCCCTGGGTCTTAGTGCTCATCCTCTCCCCCTGTTCCTATCCTTATTCTGACTCTGCACGCACTCTGAAAGGGGCCATGCTGTTTTATTATTTAATATTTTTTGCTCAACAACTTTGGTATCCCCTCTTTTTTCCCCCGGTGTTTTTTTTTGGGGGGGTGGGTTCGGTATTTTTGGTTAAACCATCTGGCAACCCTACCTAGCAGCCATGGGGGAGGCGCAAAACCTTTAAATAGAAACAGTTGAAAGGACTCACGTCTCTGGCTCCCTAGCAACACGCTAGAGGTGTGGGCAACTGCATGCCCTTTCAGCTGTTTTAAAGGGCTCTTGTGTTTCCCACAGCTGGTAGGCAAGCATTGGCTTACAGGTGCAGACAAGGTGCCAGCTTTGCTAATCCCTTGGGTAGCCATTATAGTCTATTGCGACAAATCCAAAGCCGTCCTGGACTCTGTGCAGGGCCGGATTGGGGGGGGCTAGCCAGGCAGCTGCCTGAGGCGCCAACCTATGGGGGGCACCTGATGCGCAGTGGTAAGGGGCACCGTGCATGTGCTGCATGCCCGGGGTCGGGCAGCGCATGCGCCGTGCACCCGCTGCCCGGGGCGCAACTTTGGCTCGGTCCGGCACTGACTCTGTGTTTGCCATAATGCTGCACATGGCTGCCAGTCAGCATTTCACAGCAATAGCAGAGGTAGAACTCAGATCCTCCTGCTGTAATTTGCAATTGGGGCTATAGGAGAATCTCCATTATTCCTAATAATATGGTGCTTATGACAGCGAATTGAGCAGCTCTGATGCCATCTACTAGAAGAGGCGGGGCGGAACCACATGCCCGGGGGCTGGATGTGGCCCCCAGCTTGCCTGGATCCGGCCCTCGAGGCTCAGAGATCACCCCCAGCATTGGGGAGCATGAAGTGACACTCTAGTCCCCACACCATGGGGCTAGAGCACACAGAATCGACTAGCCTGGGGCCCCCTAGACTCTGGTGTGCGAGGTGAATGTGGGGAGTGTCCTTCTGCTTCTCAGCTGGGGGCCACGACTGGGAAGGTTGGTTTTTGTTTTTTCGCTTTTCATTAGTGTGTGGCTCCCAGCTGATTTTTTTTTTTTTCTGTGGGACAGCAGCTCCTGACCCAAGAAAGGTTCCCCACCCCTGAACTAGAAGGTATTGGGACACAGACATACTAGCCCGCCTATTGCAATAGATTTGTCCTTTTACATGTACAGGCAGTCCCCGACTTACGCGGATCCGACTTATGTCGGATCCGCACTTACGAACGGCGCTTTTCTCGCCCCGGAGCTCGCGGGCGGCGGGACCGCCCAGAGTGCAGTGGTCCCACCACCGCGTCCTCCGGGGTGAGAAAAGCTGCTCCGGGTCTCCCTGGTGTGCTGGGGGGGACTCCCCAGCAGAGCAGGGAGACCCGAGCAAAGCCGCACAGGCGGCGGGACCCCGCTGCCCGTGCGGCTTTGCTCCTTTGCTTCTTTGCACAGCAGGGAGACAGGAGCAAAGCCGCAGAGGCGGGGGACCCCGCTGCCTTTG